TGAAGGGCTTCTGTTGGACTTGGTAATCTTGAAGGTCTTTTCCAGCCGTAATGATTCCATGATTCTATGATTCTGTGGTGCGGTCTCTTAACATCTGAGGGTGGTGTTGGCACCTCCAGAGCAGTGACCCGCCTGATGGAGCATGTCTAGAGCTGTCCACATCCAGGACCTTTTAGCAGACACACCTCCTTATCCGACTATTAAGGAAGAGGGTTTGTTCCCTCTTGTTCCTTCACAGCCTCAGAGAAGAGCTCCAGACAGGAAAGACAAGGAAAAAATCCATGGTCTACAGAGATCTAGGAAGTGCTAGGTATGACCCAGAGGACTAGCCTTCACCACTAAACATAACCCATAGTCCTTGTATCTCATGATGGTTGCATGCAAGAGCAGCAGCAACTTTGCTACCACAGCCTTCCTGCCAGGAGGAGCATGATAGCTTTCAACAAGGAGAACGCGTGGTTGAAATTCCCTCTTTGGGAGAAAGCTTCCCAGAGAAAAAATGCTGGGAACGTGACACTGGAAAGAAGCCTCAGCCTTCTCCTTAGAACAGCCCCCTGGGTGCTTTGCAGGGCCATGGAGAGCCCTGCGGCAGGAGCCACTTGCCAGGCCCACGTCATCACCAACACGTGCAGTTGTGTGAGCAGCTCCTCGCTGTTCAGCCTGGTGTGGGAGTCCCGGGAGCAGGGAGGAGAACCGGCATCCCGTGCACAGCCTGGGGGTCCTGCCACGGTTTGGGTCTGTGACTCCACTAACTAACATGGACACTGGAGTGCGGCCTGCTCGTAAACAGCCTGCACTGGCTCTGAGGGAACAGGCTCTCCAAGACTTCTGAAGCATCAAAGACTTCTTCAAGACTGATTTTTCTTTTCTCTTTTCCTCCTCGCTTCTCTTCTCTTCTCTTCTCTTCTCTTCTCTTCTCTTCTCTTCTCTTCTCTTCTCTTCTCTTCTCTTCTCTTCTCTTCCCTTCCCTTCCCTTCCCTTCCCTTCCCTTCCCTTCCCTTCCCTTCCCTCCTCTCCTCTCCTCTTCCCTCCTCTCCTCTTCCCTCCTCTCCTCTCCTCTCCTCTCCTCTCCTCTCCTCTCCTCTCCTCTAAAAAAATTTTTAGCCTGTGAGAGAAATCCTTAGCTCCAGCCTGCTTCCGATGTAAGAGGATAATGTAGCACTTTAATGCTACAAGCAGGGCTGTAATCACTTTGTTAGTCCTGGGAGAGCTGCCATAACTCATGTTTAGTCCTGCTGGAACTAGGTCTGTGTCCCACTTCCATATTACAAAATAATAGGAAAACAGATGTCTTGTGAGTTCCTCTGGGGCCAGAAACACTTGTGGGACTTGTGCCTGCAAACTAATAGCTACCAAGGGACTGACTCATTCAGGAGATGGGCATCTTTATTATAGGTTTCCTACGGAATTGGCTTAAAAAAAAAATAAAGACCAAGAGCTGAGCAAAGTCATTTCTGCACCTCAAAGATTTGCAGAGCTGCGTTTCTATCCTAGACAAAGCTTTTCTCTTCAGAGGGGAAGCCCACGTTATCAGAGGCTGCCTGGCAAGACTTCCCTGCTTGGGGCCTGCCGGTGCCCTTCATACCCCTACCAGCAGCACCGCTGGACGCTCACCCTTGGCCATGCCTTCTTCCCAGGTGGGAAATTTCCATCTCCCTCCCTTAGGTTGTTAAAGACCCCACGAGGACAACTCTTGAAGCATCCCCCAGGAGGCCGGACTCCATCCGTCTTCCCAGGCCAACAAGGAGCCTTGTGGCCAGTGCGTTACCCCACTGCGTGCTTGGAGGGCAGAACTCGAGATCTCAACTCATTGGATGGTGGCCTGGCCTCAGGACACTCACTGAGGGCCTGCAGAAACATTTAGCCATTGCAGACACCGCTCTCCCATGAAAACAGCTGCTTTCCCTGGTTCCTGGGTGCTTGGCCATGAGGTAACATGCGTTTGTGGGGACTGGACCCAACCAGGAGCCTTACGGGAACCAGGCTCTATCTCCATACCATCCTCATTAACACGTTCTGTGCTCACTGCCTTCAAAACCCCAGCACAGCCGGGCTGCAAAGCGGAGAGGAGAGATGCTGGGGCTGAAACCCTGCCCTGGCTTTCCCAAGAGAGTGTCTGGCCCACAGAGGAAGAGCCCTGACCCGTTTGTTAGGGACACAGGTGGAGGGTCTCTACAGCACTTGAAACATATTCACATCTTGTACCTTGTGAACTGGAGAAGACACTTTCAAGAAGTAGGGGAGAAATCCAGTCGGACTTGTTTTCCCCTTAATTCCTGCTTTGGAAAGATGGGAGTGAGGAAAAAAGAAGATAAAAAGCTCAAGAAAGCATTTCCAAGGCAGGTAGCTTTGCAGCACGCTTGGAAAACATGAGAGCCAGGGGAAAGAGCAGCAGTGCAGGAAAGAGGGCACATCCCACCTGAGCCTGCTGACCCCAATGGTCGGTGCTGGGCTAATTTTGCAGGAGAGGGTCCCCGCAGCCACCTGCCCCGTCCCGCCTGGCCTCGGTGCTCACCTGGGAAGCGCGAGCGTCCTGGCACGCCGCGAGGCACAGCAGCAGGCACAGGCTGCTCCGGAGCCCCCAGCTCATGGTCGCGCCGGGGCCACCGCAATCTCCTCTCGAAGCCTTTCCCACCTCCTGGTGGTCCTCGGGGCCGCGCTGGTGGCGGAGCTCCCCTCCGCGAGCTCTTCCCGGCTCCGGGATGGGTTATCCCTCCCGCAGCGGCTCCGGGAGCGGAGCGGGAGGCCGCCGGGCTCGTGCCAGCCCCACGGGCTGCTCCACGCGCTCGGCGGCGCGGCCGTCCCGGCGGGAGCGCGCGGGGCTTTGCCCTTGCCCGGCGATGGGGAGGACTGCGCTTCCTCCGCCCCGAGGAAGAAGAGGGTGACTGCTCCGTGCGCGGGGCGGGGGGAAGGAGGCGGCCGGTGCATCCCTCCTCCTGGTCCATGCAGCTCCCCGGGCTCGGAGCAGCGACCGGCGCGACCGCTGCTCCTCTTAGCTAACGGGCCCGACCGTGTACCGCTCCATGGGCGCAGGCACCGCAGCCACCTTGGAGACTGGGCCCCCCTGTTCCCGGAGAAAACCAGGACCAAAACCCGCTCTGAACTGTCCTCCCCTCCTCCCGTGTTGGGGCAGCTTGTGCTTTGCAATAGCTACACGTGAATGTTTTAACAGCCCTCTCTTTTATATTGCATCTTAATAGCTGTCTGTGTTGGCTTCAGAAAGGCTGTATCGGAGTGCCCCTGGTCAGCAGCACGCTCAGGCTTGGACACAGCTGTGGGAAGCAGCGGTGCGGGTTTTAACGCACCCAAAAGGATGCTCCTCCGCACGGGTTTTGCTGCAGAAAGGGCCAGCCCGGCTGATTTCTGTTGGCTCCCTGCACCATCTACTGGGCAAGGCAAGGAAATGGAAGCTGGAAACGAGGGATGTTCATGTCAGCAAATTGCTTATTCCTCCTGCCACTTTCCTCAGATGCTGAGGGAGGAACCGCAGGGCAGGAAGCCCCAGTTCATCTGGGTCCTGGAGGGCAGCAGCGGGAGAAGCAGCTTTTTCTGCCCTGGGTGCTTTGTCCATAGGATGCTGAGTTGACTCTCCAGCCCTCTCCAGACTGGAGTCTGCCCCTCTGCAGCGCATCCTCTGGGGAATATGATACCCTTGGATGTCCCATCTCCTACCCCAGGTTCCAGGAGGACCCAGGAGCGGTGACTGGTTCTGGCTCCTGCAGCCCCTGACTCCTCCTTTTCCCCCATCTCACCCATCCTTGTCCCACCCCAGCTCGCCAGGACACCGCGGTGCTGGGGGACCCGTGGCCTCCCTCTGTGCCCAGCTCGGGGGTGATGAAGTGGCCCCCAAGAGCTCTCTGCTCCCCATGGCTGAGGAGACACCAGCAGATGGTGCTCCCGGCATGCACAAGCCCTCCAAGAACCCACACGTTCACTCGCAGGACACCACGTGCCCTCCTGCCCACACGGCCAAGGCCTGGGGCTTTGCTTCCATGGGACTGCAGGGATCTCAACCCCGACACGTTTTTCTGCCCTTCTGCAGCACAGTCGGTCAGATCAAGCTTTGTCCATAGGATGCTGAGTTGACTCTCCAGCCCTCTCCAGACTGGAGTCTGCCCCTCTGCAGCGCATCCTCTGGGGAATATGATACCCTTGGATGTCCCATCTCCTACCCCAGGTTCCAGGAGGACCCAGGAGCGGTGACTGGTTCTGGCTCCTGCAGCCCCTGACTCCTCCTTTTCCCCCATCTCACCCATCCTTGTCCCACCCCAGCTCGCCAGGACACCGCGGTGCTGGGGGACCCGTGGCCTCCCTCTGTGCCCAGCTCGGGGGTGATGAAGTGGCCCCCAAGAGCTCTCTGCTCCCCATGGCTGAGGAGACACCAGCAGATGGTGCTCCCGGCATGCACAAGCCCTCCAAGAACCCACACGTTCACTCGCAGGACACCACGTGCCCTCCTGCCCACACGGCCAAGGCCTGGGGCTTTGCTTCCATGGGGCTGCAGGGACCTCAACCCCGACACGTTTTTCTGCCCTTCTGCAGCACAGTCGGTCAGATCAAGGTGTGAGGGGGTAGAGGTGTGGGAGCCCCTACACCCAGGACCTGTTGCAGTGTGTGTCCCCTACAGCAGTGGTCACGGGTGCTTCGAAGAGCTCCGGGCGTCCAGGACAGGGTCCCACGTCGCACATCCCGTGTCTCTGCAGCCGCAGCGGGTTCCTGTACAGCGGGAAAAGTGGAAATCTCCCCAGAGGAGGACGATGAGCACCAGGAAGAGCTAAGCCCTCTAAGAGCATCACAGCCCTCTGCAATGAAGAACATTTCAGAGACGAAGCCCCTGCTGAAAGGGGAAGCGCACGGCCACCCACGCGTGTCCTGAGGCTCCTTTCGATGCTCTGCTGAACAAATTCCCTCTTTTTTCACCCCGTGGGCCCCTTCCCATGGTCCTGCGACAGCCCCTGAGGCTGGTGGGAACACCAGGCTGCAGGAAAGGAGACGGGGCCTGGATCCCCTCTGAGCAAACAGGGCACAGTGCAGGGGGAGGAGAAGGAAGGAAATTTCCCTTCTTGGAGTGTCTTTCATCCCCATTTTTAACCAAGATTCCTCATTTTCTCTGCGTATTCCCGGGAGGTGCCCGTAGAGGGGCTCGCAGGGACACCCTGGCCCCGCAGAGCTGTCCCCTCGCAGCAGTGATCGGGGCTGGCACCTCCTCGGAGCAGCGACGCTGCAGGGACAGGCTGAAACCATCCGTCTGCGAGAAGCGGGGTCGGAAGCTCTCAGTGCTCCCGATCCCAAATCCCTGTTTTTGCTTGGGATGTTTCTCTGCCCGAAATCCCCCCAGGGCTGCGTGTGAGGCTCTCCTACGTCCCGCAGCGTTTCCCACCGATGTGGGTCACCCCAGCGAGCCCCGTGCAGACGTGTCTGCCCTCACCCCATCTCCGCTCCAGCAGAGACCCTGGGGAGCCAAGAACAAACTGGGAATGTGGCAGTTTCCACATAAACAACCCTTCCTGCACCAGAATCCCACCACCCTGTCACCCACATCCATGGGGAACCCCAACAGGCCACTATATATATATTTTTTTTTCCTCAACACAGGCAGCAGGCTCTCCCATCAAAAAAAAAATGCCAAGGATAACGAATGCTGGAACAGGGAGAAGACGGACACCCGCGGTTGGCCGCAGCTTTACCCCAGACACAGCAGCTGCCTCTGACACAGGAGCCCCAAGAGTTTGAAGAGCAGCAGCCTCCCAAACACAGAAAACAAACACACAAGCGAACACCAGGAAACAGTTGTAGCATTTAATTACCAACCAAGAATAAAACTTCATGGCTTCAACCCAAGAAACAGCTCCTGGGACGGGGCATCTTCCAACATGAAAGTAATAAATGCAAGCAGGAGTAAAACAGGCCGTTGTTTATTAAAATACAACATCGCTGCCTCTCTCTCTAGGAACGTCCCCCGAGCTGATTCCCGCGTTCAGAGGCTGCCTGTTTCGGAGCAGCGCTCCAGGGAGCCGGCCCGGCACCGCGCGGGCAGCAGCGGGACGTGGGGCTCCTCCGTGGGGAGCTGCTCCTCGCCGGCGCCCTCCAGGACGTACCTGGCGCCCCACTGCTCCTCGCCGTGGACGCCCACGGCCACCAGGGCCGGGTCTCGTCAGGTTCTCCAGCAGCTTCTCCAGGTGGACCTTGAGCTGCAGGAACGTCGGGCGCTCGGCGGGGGCGGCCCTCCAGCCCGCGGACATCACGTCGTACCTGGAAAACGGGAAGGAAGCTGGGATCACGGAGGATATTCCCCAGGCTGTGCGTGTGCTGGCTTCTCTGCTTCTCACCCAGCAAAGCCCAGAGCTACTACGCATTAAAACCAAGCAAGAACGACTCCTGCTCTCAGGCTGTTTTGTCACTAGGAAGATGCAGCTCCCACTAACAGGCACCCCGGTCCAAGGAGCTCTGCTCTGCTCCTGGAGTTCCTCACAGTGCCCAAAACTTCCTCACTGGTCCGGAGACCGTTGAGCGGGAAGGAGGAAGGACCCCACACCTGTGACAAGGGCACTTTATTGCGCAGGACTGCAGGGTTTTGGGGGCTGTTTTGGGTAGGGACCTTTGAAGCCCCCATGTGCAACTCCTACCAGCTTTCCTAATTCAACAGTTCTTTTAATTTAACAACTTGTAGGGTAGAGAAAAGCAAAGACTTTTGGGCCACTGCCTTTGGGGACAAAAAAAAGGGGGAAAAATATGAGGTCTGATCCCTTTATGACAAATGGCAAACTGCTCCTATCTTCATAGTCCAGGCCAAGCGAGGTGATGGCTGGAGCTTTCCAACACTCCATGCCACCAGCTCAACAGCCTTTAGTGCAGCCCCTGCAAACACGTTGCTTTCTTGGGGGTTTTTCCTTGGAATTTCTGTGCAACAGTTTGCTTGGAATTCAAAAGATGCTTTTATTATTATTATTATTAATCCTGAGTTATATTGTGCTCTGCTCTGGGATCTGGCACTTATTAGGCCATTGAAAACTCAATAGATTGTGAAAAAAAAATAAAAGTTTTGAACTTCTTTCTCTCTATGACATTTATTATTATTATTAATCCTGAGTTACATTGTGCTCTGCTATGGGATCTGGCACTTATTAGGCCATTTAAAACTCAATAGATTGTGAAAAAAATCAAAGGTTTTGAACTTCTTTCTCTCTATGACATTTTCACTTACAATTTGACCCAAACTGTCAGTCTGGGCAGCTTTCTTCTGAGCATAAACCTGTGTGTTCCTGCTAGCCCCCTGCCTGTCAGCCCCATAAGGAAGCGAAGGTTAAGTCCTTGCTTGAAACTTTTGTTTTAAAATGTTATTCTTTAACAACTTTTATTTTGGGGGCTGTCAGCGAAATCAAGGGGGGACCCTTCCAAGGTACAATGGAAGGTACCTTGGAATGGTACAGGCTCTTACTCCACTTAGAGAGGTTTGCAACAGCTGGGAGTATAGTCATACAGGAGCACTCTTTAATTGCACCTCGAGGCCTAGTTTTGGGGGCTAAATATGGTGCTAAGGCACAAAACACAACATGAGTTAGTTGTTGTGTCCTTAACGAAAAAAAAGATGCATTAAGAACCGAGAACCTCAAAGGGAAGAGCACAATCAGTTACAGCCCCAAAAATCAACCTCAGCCAAGGGTAAGCAACACATGGATTCATTCCACAAGGCAACGAGCAAAGAGGCTACTCTGATGTCTGGAGAGACAAATACTCACAGCTCATCTGAGCAGCCCTCGGGCTTTTTGAGGCGGTGTCCATGGAAGAGGTACTCATAGATCTCATGGTTCTGCACTCCTGGATACGGCGTCATCCCTCGCGTTGCTATCTCCCACATGGTAATGCCAAATGCCCACTGCAGGGACAAAGGGAAAGCATGTTGAAAGGGCATTTCCAGGAGGAATGAATGAGACTTTTCATCGGGAAAGGTCATTTCCTAATGTCCCCTGGGTTTCTGCACAATGCTAATAGTTCTATCTCCAACCCTGCCTCCCCCAAATTTGGAAAGAAGCAGTGGCACAGAATAGCCACTCAGTGAACCTATTCCAGGGCATCGTGCAGGCAACGAAAGGTCAGGGCGTCTTGTTACTGCCTCCCTCCTCTTCCTCCAGCTTTTGCATTGACAGGGCACACAAACCACCACGACGAACCTCAAACGTGAGCAACTCAACCCAGTGACCCTCAGGATCTGCCCCCCAACTACCAACCCCTGCTTTTTGCATGACCAACCATGTTGACCTACCACGTCGCTCTTGGTGGTGTAGACACGGTCGGCCAGGGACTCTATTGCAATCCACTTCACTGGCATTTTGGCTATTCGCCCCTGCCGGTAGTAGTCGCCGCTGTAAATCTTCTTAGACAGCCCGAAGTCTGCAACGCACACGGTCATGTCGTCCCGTAACCTGCCAGGAAGAAACGGGGTCAGGAAGCCCTGGAGAGCCAAAGGCAGCAAATAAAGAGACCGATGTGCGCGGCTCCTTGGCATGCTTTGTGTGTGACTGCCACTCATTGCTTTCTACAGCTTCAAAATGACAACAAAAAGGGAAAAAAATGACAAACTGATTTCTGACACCTCAGGTTGAGTTGTTTTTCCATGCCTCTCAAGAGCAAAGAAGATTTTATTTAAGGAAGCCCAAGCTGAATGTCCATTCTGAGTGGTACACGAACACAGGCTCTCTGCTGTTGTTCGTCTACCCATGAGGAAACAGAGGAAAACAAACTCACATGCAGTTCCGAGCTGCCAAATCCCTGTGGAGAAACTGCCGACTGCTCAGGTACTCCATGCCCAGGGCAATATCAACCATGAACTTCAGCAGCGTCTGCAGGGGCACGAACTGCAAAGGGAAGATGCAGGTCACTTGCGAAGGACACACCAGGGCAGGTGACCGCCGTAAAGGAATGTCCCTACTCAGCTGGAGCACCCAGCAGGGCTCCCAGGGCCTCAGACCATGGAATTTATTGAATACTTCAATAATGACCAACCTTGTAATAGGCTGCCCTGGCAAGAGGGCAGCCAGAATCCTTCCCTTTCATTTGGCCATGGTGAGGCCATGTGTGGATCCTGATTTGGAGCTCCTCAGCATTAAAAATAAGTAAATAAATAAAATAAAAATCTACCCCTGGAGGTCAAACTTTGGAATAGTAGCCCAGAGAGAGGCTGTAGGGTCTCCATCCTTGGAGATACTCAAAACTTCTCTAGACTAGACAAGCCCTGAGCAACCCCATCTGCTTTTGAAACGGGCCTTTCCTGAGAAAGACATTGATCTAGAAAACCTCAGATGTCCCCTCCAAGCTAAATTTTTCTGTGACTCTGTGGTTGTGGCTACCAAGTCCTCCCCATGTCCGAAAGCCTTCGGTCTCTCAGCCGAAGCGCCGAACAGGAATAATTCAGCCCTGGTGAATTCTGGAAGCAGATCACAGGCTTTTGTGGGAGCCAGATTCCACCATCGTCATCTGACAAAGGCAGGAAGCAGGAGTACCACCAAGTTCTCCGTGTTCTCAAAAACAACGGCAGGTTTTGCCCATTGTCCCACAAAGACACGGTCCCACCCCGCTCCTCCTGGACACAGGGCTCTCTGCTCCCTGCATTCCTTACCTGGGGGGCCATCTCCAGCCGTGAACGGAGGAGGAAGCTGTGCAGGTCACCATATTTCATGAATGGGAGGATCACCATGGGTTTGGGGACCTGCAGAGAGCTCAGCTCAATGCACACACCTGGAAAACACAATTTTGAGAGCCCCGTGGGCAAAGGCACCACCCTCCAGCTCCCCAGCCCAGGACCAGGAAGCCCATCTCAGCTACAGAGAAGAGCAATAGTCTGTACCTAGGAGCTTGATGACATTGGGATGGTCGAAATCCTTCATGCACGCTGCTTCACTGAGGAACTCTTCTATCTCCCTTTGGGAAAAGTTATCCACTGCAAAGCACAGGAAATGGGGAAGTTTTTTTTAAAAAAAGAGCTTTAACAACCTAAATCGCTGCTGCCATTGCCCTGTGCTCCAACACATCTTCCATGTAAAACAGGAGGGAAGGGGCCACCAGCATGAGAGACAAACTGGAGTGGACTTTATTCCAGAGGTTTGCACCAGCCTATGGTTTATTCAGCATAAAAACAGCAGGGAGCAGCCCTGTCCCATTCATGCAGCAGCACCAGGGTGTACAGAGGCCGTGGTGCAAGGAAAAGGTTAGATTTGATTAGGGACACCAAAAATCAGGAGTATCTCATTTAGCAGGAGACAAGCCCTGTCACCTCCTGATGCTTCAAGACAACCTTGGCCAAAAGACATGAGCATCCTTTCCCAGCAAGGCTGTGGTGGGAAACAAGCAAAGACCTCAGCCTTGACCACCATCAGGAGAAAGGCCTGTGACAACCCCCACACCTTTCCCTTAAGTGCTACATGGTTTAGGGTAAGAGAGCACCAGACAGGAAGATCTGGCATCTATCCGCTGGGAGAAACAATATGAAGTGTTCCAAGGCCAAGGCAACTTACGCTTCATGGTCTTCACGGCCACCTTCTGCACAGGGCCTTCAGGCTGGCTGAGACGTCCCTCCATCACTGACCCAAACTCCCCTGCAGCATGGGAAAGAAGGAAACATTTTTTCCACACTCCAAAGTACCCCCTTTTGAGACATCATTTTATCTTCAAAATCTGACAGGCTCTAAGATGGAGACTTCATCCCCCAAAGGCCTTTCACGTCCATCCCAGCCTGCCGTCCCCAGCAGCACCATCACTCACCCTCTCCCAGGATCTTCCCCAGGCTGAGGGCATTTCTGTCGATGACAACGTCCTGCAGCTTCTGCTGGAGCTCGTTGCTGACGCCCAGGCTGCCCACTGCAAGAGAAGGGAGCAGGAGCTCAGCTCACCCGCAGCACAGGGATAACCATTTACCACGAGCCTGTGATCAAATGCACCAGGATGCTGCATGGTGTGTGAACGGGGGAAGATGGCCCAGGGCCAGGACTTCCAAGTTTTGATACTCCAGGCTCCTGCTGATGCCCACAGGCTGTCCAGATAAAGATGGAGCATAAACATCTCATGTCTAACCAGGCAAGAAAGCCCAGCTTGGGAGACAGATGAGAAGCTGGAGAAATCAGCTGTACCAGGATACACACATTTACTGTTAGCTTGTTCTGTTCCCTCTGCTGAGATACCCTCTGTCACCTCCTTGGCAGTGGAGAGGACCAAAAAAACAACCCACTTACGTGTAAGTTCAACAGCTCTGCGACAGTAGGACTTCTTAGCCGTGTAGTTCACTGCCAGCTCGGAATCATTTCTGCTGAAAGCATTCCTGGTGGGACACAAAGAGAACGTGCTGGGCCACACGGGGCACTCTCATCTGCCCAAGGAAGGCAGTGCTGCAGCTGCAGGGGTGGGCGACTGCTCTGGCACCAGTGACAGCAACAGCACAGAAGGAAACACACATTTGCCCTAATCATTTCCCTCTTACTGGATCAGTGCCATTGCTTACAATGTGCAACAAAAACAGCCACCTGATAAACGGGGCTGATCCGTAAAGGAGTTAGTCACAGAGATATTCAGGGGAGGAAATGGGATACTCATTTCCTAACGGGACACGCAGTCAGCACTGGCAGGACATGGGAAGGACAACGCACCAGCTGTGCAAGACGCTCCAGGGAAACTGGCACCGCAAGGAGGGAGAGATTTCCACCTGGAAAAGGGATCCTGGTGTACAGTTTCTAAACTGGGACTGGGGGTGATGCCTTGGGAGAGCAAGTAGGTGCAATTCCCTATCCAGCTCCAAATACCCCTTCCTGAAAGGATGTTCTTACGAAAGGAATTAATTAAATTTCCATTTGGCCTTGGACATCAAAATGATGCTGATTATAAGGAAAGCTACAAACACCATAATTATTTCCTACAGAAAACAGCACAGGGCAGACAAATGTCACAAAGTCACAAAGACTATTAGCTTTCTATGGTAGAAAACAGTCCTTTACCTACATTATTTAAAACACAACTAAATGCAGCCCAGTGGGCAGCCTCTCTGCCTGAAGGAGGCTGAGAATCGAGACAACTCTGACACTGGATGGACTTGGATCATCACACTCAGGCGCTGGGCCAGGAAAGGTTTGGTGTTTGTCGAGGCAGGAGAGGTTTCTTGAGGCCACAAGGCACAGGATATTATGCATCTTGGCTCTCTCATCACTGTCCAAATGTCAAGGGCAGCTCTCCTGTACCAATTGCACAAGTCTACTTCCCTTTAGAAGCAGGAATAGCGAGTGAAAGGTGAAGTGCTATGGAAGGAAGGGAACTATCATGCAGTAAAACCACAGCCATCCCTTCACCGCCAGCACAGCGTCGCCTGCAGGAATGATCCCAGCCCTGGAAGCAGGAGCCTCCTCCCTACGTGCAGTGTCAGACTGTTCTCCCTTACCCGTACTTCGTTTCCATGCATCTTTTCTGGATGACCACAGACAAGCAGAGGATCAGTCCAACGGAAACCGTCCCACAGACGAAGCCCAGGGCTATGATAAAGGAGTCTGCGTTCCTGGAGGCTGCAGTCGAAGAGGGGGCTGAGGTTATTAACCCTGAGAAAACATTCCATAACAGAGACAGGAGGGACAGTCAGCCTGCAGCGCACTGGGAACGGGGAGCATTTCTCAGCAGCTGTCACCAAACCCAATAAAACTGAGGGCTACAAGGGAGACGAGGGCACGATGCCCAACACGCATCAATACGTGGGTTTGTCTTGGCAAGGCTGAGTGGCACGGGGAGAGCAGGTCTCTTCTGGCTGCCTTTTTCCTCTGGCTTTCAAGATGTGCTTAAGACCCCATATTCTCAGTGCTTTGCCCAGATATCTTGGCCCAAGGCAAAGACATCCAAGTGGGGACACAGTGATGCCATGTGGCATTGGCAGAGCCGGAGCAGAGGGCACACAGCAGGCAAGCTGCAGGATCCATCCCTCCCCGTGTGGCCACATTTCCATGCAGGACATGGTCATCTCACCGTCACTGCCAGGGATGAAGATCTCCACCGGGCTGCTCAAAGGTCCCGTTCCCCCCCTGGAGACGGCGGCCACGCGCACGGAGCAAGTGGCATTTGTGGCCTCCACGGGCAGGATGGCCACGCTGGCGTTCGGCTGCGCTTCGGAAGAGACGTTCTCCTGAAAACAGCAAGGGAAGGAAAGCTGAGGGAGAGGGAGACAGCAGCCTACCAGGCAAAGGCTCAACAGGAGCGAAACGCCAAGATTCGCTGAGAACTGGCCCCTTACTAAGGGTTTTCATGACTTTGCTTTTAGAAGTCCAGAGGAAATACAGCAGCAGCAAGCTATTTATGGAGAATAATAGCTCTTGGAGAACCGGATGGGATTAGGAAAGGAGCTCGGCAGTGTTTCCCATTTAACCTCTTCGCTGTCACGGCAGCGGGATGGACAGTCTTAGCCAGAAAAAAGGCAAAAAACAACCCTTAAAAAGCAGTCCTGCAGGGAAGGAGGAAAGGCATGGAGGCTCAAAATGCCTCTCTCTTGAATTCCCTCCCTTCTGCAGGGTGTCAGCTCCACTCCCTGTAAACGTGTATCTCCTACAAGCACTTGGATGCCAGTCTTC